TTAACAACGCCTGGCTGTATAACCGCAAGACATCCCGAGTCTACAAGTACTGCTCTAAGCTGGCGGAAGTGTTTGAGCAGGAGATCGACCCTGTCATGCAGAGCCTTGGCTACTGTTGTGGGAGAAAGGTAAAAAAGAGGGTGCAAGAGTATTTGCACACATTAAATCGTCCTTCTAACATGATGCCTGTTTTATAAATAAGTATTTTCCTTAATGCTTTATATACCATAGGCGTTGAGCTAATCAAATTAGCTTTCTCATCCAAAGAGTTTGTCATAATATGGGATTTTGTGTCAAATCAACTTCAGGTCTTTCATATCAATATTTACTTGCTCTATGCTCTGTTTTTACAAATACAGGTATTTGTCAGTGTTCTCTTTATTTTCACTGTGTTCTCTGCATTTTCATCATGTTCACCAGATGTTTTTTTGTTTTCTCTCACAGTTTGAGTTTTCCCCCCAAACTCTGTGCTGCTATGGGAAGCAGCTATGCACTATACCACGAGATGCTGCTTACTTTAGTTATCAGAACAGGTAAGGAACTTACGACTGAGGCCAACATCAACGGACACGCAAGCATATATATTTGAACGACCCGTGATATTAGTATTTATTACGTATGCATGTGAAACAGCTGTTTTTTCCATTGTACCTGGCCACATAAAGTGAAGTGACTTGCACCACGGTTGATAAGAGTGTCTTCTTATCCCACCTTTTCCACCAATCAGTCCTTTGCATTGTAAAATCCTATGTGTGTAAAAAGACCTGGCATTTTAAAGTGTGCTCCTAAAATGTTTTAATGGGGATCATCAGGGCTGTAACATAAACAGTTGTTGTTGTTTTTGTGCACATTGCACTGGTGCTGCAGAGGTTGAAAATTTTGTAACACGGATGTTTTATGCTATCATTGTGTAGCCTGTTACCATCTCTGAAAACAACCCTAAGTAGTGCAGTTTATCACTTAAACAAGCATGTGATTGACAAAGGATATTAATGTTTGAACAAAATTTCATACACAAATATTATTGTTGTATATATTGTTTACTCCACTTAAAATTTGTCAACGTTTCTTGAATCAAAACTAGTAAATTTCACTCTTTTTGTGATCCTTTAAATTAAATGGCCTGTTTGGGCTGGTTGACCTAAACGTGGTTAGTCATAAGGTAATGTGTCTTCATAGTACCTAGAAAAATTGTATGTGAAAGAGTTGATATTTTATGATATGACCACTTTGTCATGAATTTTACAATATGTACGACTTGACACTGATCAGTGTAACCATGACTTAAAAGGAGTAATACTTATCTTTTGAAAGAGCACCTTTAAAATGCCTGTTTGCTTGACATTGTTGCTACGTCTTTTTGTTCTTGTTTATTGTGCTCATGTGTCCATAAGTCACAAACAACCTTCGCAACTGATTCTGCTCCAGTTTTGCTATAATGGTTTTCTCATTATACATGTAAATGCTAATCTGTGCTTTGCTTTGGCTTTCTGCTTGTCTGTTTTGTCTCCCTCCTTATCCATTCATTTCTGTCTTGTCCTAATGTTTTTCTTTGTCAACCCTTGTCCTCTTCTCTGTACTTTGCCATTTGTTGTCTGCTATCGCCTGCTTTCATCTGACCAATCATCTGCACCTAAACCCCTCCCTGCTCAAAACCCCTGCTCAAAAATCCTGCATCATGATTGGCTCCTCTGGCGATGACCCTGTCCTGCGCTCCCCCTTTGGCCTGCCTGCCCTGCCTTGTCCTGCACTGATTGGTGGCTACCTCCGCGTTGCCTCTCTGTGATTGGCTTGTGGGTTGGCGCATGGTGTAGTTCACCAAAATATGGGCTTCTTGCTGACAGGTACCACTTCTGCGAAAAGTGTTTCAATGAGATCCAGGGTGAGACTGTGTCCTTGGGAGATGACCCATCCCAACCTCAAACGTAAGTGTCTCCTCTTTCACACCATTTTTAATTAGTGTTTTATTACAGCATGATCTTTTTTTTTTCTTTTCAGCTGTATAACAAGAAAACAAGTTTGTCTAATCTGTCTAGTGTTTGCAGTAACAAGACCCCCACCCATATTACGTTTGATTGTATAGAGGTCTACTGCACTTATCCGTATATAAAGAACAACTCTTACATATAACATCAGAGGTTTCTGTTGAATTTTCTGTTATCTACCACTGTTTAACAAAAGTAGTACATTTTAGGAAGGCAAAAAATGTCACTTTAAAAATACTAGAGTTAAAAAAATATTACTGATTGACAAATAATTTATAGAAATTGAAAATTGAAATTGAAAAATTTAAATTGACCGTGACGGGTCATTTTAATTTTTAAAGTAACTTATTATCTGCATTCAACTACACAAGTAAAAAAGGACAAGCATTTAATCCATTGAATGTGTCCAGAATCTGTCCCTTTCCCCCCCTAGAATGTGGTTGTATCCATCCAAACATAAAAATCAGGTGTAAATGATAGGCACTCAGAATGCATTATGTAGTAAAGTGCCATCCTGAACACCGAAAATGTTTGTGAATTGCCATGTAAAGGGGGCCTTAAGAGTTAATGTAATAACTTTAATGGAAATTAATTCAGTCAACAAGTAGTCTTAAACTTGTTATTGATGCACCCTTTGAGACTTGTTTTAATTGTGCTACAATATGCATATATTTCTAGATCGATCAACAAGGATCAGTTTGAAAAGAAGAAAAATGACACACTCGACCCTGAGCTGTAAGTCCATATAAACTTTAATTTTAAAGTTTTGTGATCTCAGTAAAATTATCAGGATTAATACTTTTTTTCTCTCTCTCTCTCTGCAGATTTGTGGAATGTATGGATTGTGGTCGGAAGATGCATCAGATCTGTGTTTTGCACCATGACACTATATGGCCATTAGGGTAAATTTTCTGAACTGAAATTGAATACTGACTGTGGATTTTGAAAGGTGTTTCTAACACCAACATGTGTCCTACCTTTTTCTCTTTTCCCTCATTTAGCTTTGTATGTGATGGTTGTCTGAAGAAGTCTAACAAGACCCGTAAAGAGAATAAATATGCTGCTAAAAGTATGTGGTTCCATTTCAGTGTTTTATTAACTTCAATTTTCTCCATGTATTTTCTTCTCACTAATAAATAATTAAATGGCTTTTTTTTCTTTTCTTTTTTCTTTTCCTCAGGGCTTCCACAGACCAAACTAGGCATGTACTTGGAAACACGGGTTAATGACTTTCTGAAGCGACATAATCACCCAGAGTCTGGTGAAGTTACTGTTCGTGTTGTCATGTCTCGCAAAGTGGTGGAAGTCAAACCCAGGCATGAAGTCTAGGTCAGACAGGATGATTATGAACAGACATTGGTTTAATACAACACATTTATCTGTTGGACATTTTCAAAAATAGTTACTTTAATAACACATTTTGTAATTTTATATTCTTCCTGTGAAGCTTTATTTGTTACTCTGATTTATAATGTAATATACCTCCCATGCAGACTTTTAGTATTGCTTATTTGTCTACTTGGATTCTTTTTTACAGGTTTGTCGATAGTGGAGAGATGTCAGAGTCTTTCCATACAGAACGAAAGCTTTATTTGGCATTTGAGGATGTTGATGGTGTTGATGTCTGCTTTTTTGGGATGCACGTGCAAGAGTATGGCTCAGATTGTCCACCCCCTAATCAAAGGTCAGACATATGTAATTGCTCTTTATTATTATTATTTGATGGGACTGTTTTTTATTTCCTGCTAAACTTTTTTTCCTTTCTTATCCTCAATCATCTAGACGAGTTTACATATCCTACCTGGACAGTGTCCACTTCTTTCAGCCACGCTGTCTGAGAACAGGCGTGTACCATGAGATTCTTATAGGGTATCTGGAGTATGTCAAAAAACAAGGGTAAGATGATCCTCCCCTGTCCTACTGTTTCAGCAGTATTTTTACTTTAATAGATGTTTTAATTCAAAATTTCACAAGGCAAAAATAGTGAACATTTTGGATTTTGTTTTTCTTAGGTTTACCACAGGACACATCTGGGCTTGCCCTCCTAGTGAAGGAGATGATTACATCTTCCATTGTCACCCTGCAGACCAGAAGATACCCAAGCCCAAGCGGTTGCAGGAGTGGTATAAAAAGATGCTGGATAAAGCGGTAGCAGAGCGCATCGTGCATGACTATAAGGTACAATTTAAACATTGTGTTCTTGTAAATATTGAAAAAACATTTGAAAAGTTAAAAAAAAAAGTTCCAGTATATTTTTTCAGTATGGGTGTGCATGTGTGTGTGTATGTGTATATATATATATATATATATATATATATATATTATACATATACATTATTTTAAAAAATATATATATATTTTTTTACAGGACATATTCAAACAGGCAACAGAGGATCGTCTCACCAGCGCCAAAGAACTGCCCTATTTTGAGGGTGATTTTTGGCCCAATGTGCTTGAAGAGAGTATAAAAGAACTGGAGCAAGAAGAGGAGGAAAGGAAGA